GGGCGCGGCGGCAGCACCGCGGGGGGGGAGCCGGGGTCGAAGCGGGACTCGGGTAAAAGCCCGGCCCTCCGCCGGGAGAGCGGCGAGGAGCGGGGAGGTCTCCCCGGCAGCCCTCCGGCCGGTGGAGGGCCGGCGGGGAGAGGGGGTTCCGAGGCCTAGCCCCGGCCTAAGGTCGCTTCGTTTTCCCGGCGCTAAAAGGCAGCAAATCGGATTAGAAACGTAAAGAGAAAGCAGGGTGGGTTTAGAAGGCGTCTGTGGCATCGCACGCCCTGCATCCTTCCAGCCACGCACTTTTGGTCCATCGCTGTGGGATGGAAATCTTAAGTAAACACGTTATGGGGTTAAATCCCGAGATTCTGGTGCAGTATAGGGGGATTTAATGCTGCCAGCTCCCACTATTCGTTGTGTGCGCCTAAAACCCCGGCTTCTCAATCCAGAGGACTGTGTGAGACCGCCGTTATGGAGAAAGGGAAATGGAAAGGGAGAGAAAATATACTTGTCTCCATGATGAGGGAGAGGAAGTTGAGAAAAACATGACTCTGGAGTTACATATCCTGAACGAAAATAAACCTAGTACACAACTTTATTATTTTATTATTAATGAATTGTAAAAGGGCTCTTGCTTTATCTGAGGGGGCTTTGAACTCCAGGAGAGAAGAGGAACCTGCCACCTGCTCCCTGTGGGGAACAGCCCATGGCTTAGTCACAAGCCACGAGCGTCTTTCCGAGGACTCTTACTTTCTTCAAGCCCCAGTCTTCACCCACAGGCTCAACGCTTCTTGTTAATGAGTCGTAATTCCCCTTTCCCTTGGAGCACCCTGAGTAACAAGGCCTTCTCTCTCTCTGTGCGCAGGAGCAGCATCAAGTGGGATTGTCTCGGACCACAGGGCCTATGCAGCCTTCTGTCCCACCGGGCTCCAGCAGCGTGGTCACAGGCACGAGCTCTGGGGGTCCCTTCCTGGGAAACCAACCTCAAGCGGCCATCATGAAGCAGATGCTGATTGAGCAGAGAGCCCAGCTCCACGTGATAGAGCAGCAGAAACAACAGTTTCTAAGAGAGCAAAGGCAGCAGCAGCAGCAGCAGATCCTGGCAGAGCAGGTACAGTAGCCGTTTGTCTCAGGCACCGCCGTGCGCGCTGCTATGAGAGCATGAGCGCTAGAGACAGCGCAACACCAGCCCTTCCTTCTATATTGGGTCATTCTGTGGCTCCTGTCATGGAATTTCAGCAATGGTTATCAAAGAAGATGCATCTGCCTCAATCTTACCATTAGTTTGGCAAATACTACCCATGTTCCCAGCAGTGGCTTTGGCAGTACCATGGGATTTTAGACACCAGAAAAGCTAGCTCTTAACCTGGTATCTCATGGTGCATTTATGCTGGCAGAAGCAGGCTCTGCTACAGTTACAGCTGCTGGTGCTCTCCCCTACCTATGACTATGGTCTTGCACTGGCAAAAGCGATGTACAGCCGTGCAGCGATCAAGGACAAAGAACCGATGTGCATTAACAGTAACCTAGCAAAGAAAAAAAGTTAGTGCGTACCCATATCAATACTTAATCTGGTTTATCGCATGCCAGTAAGAGTAACTAAGTTAGCAGAAGGGAGAGGCAGTATCAAGGAGGGAACCAGAGGCTGAAGTGGGAGAACAGGAAAACCATATCTAGCAGTGGCAGCGTGGAACTGCTGCATTGGAGCCCATCACCTGGCTTCTGGAGCTCTTGGGCTTTGCAGTACAGATGTTAAATTACCCTGTCTGAATGGTGATGTCTTACACACGTTTAACTCAGCTGTAGTTTAAAAGCAGCCCAGGAGAAAGTCAGTGAAAAGTCACAGTGTTCAGTTCCTATAAGCTCATATCTAGGTTTAAACTTGCAGTCCCCTAATGTTACCTAAATGATGTTCTGGTAGGTCAGTAGTTGCTTTAAGCTTGGCTTCACCTCTCCTGCTGGGGAGATACAGTTCAACACCTGGGGTCCGCTTTAATTTGCGTTAGAACTTGTGCATGTTGTATAACCATAGAAATATCGATAGCCTTCCCCTCTTCTCATGGTCCTCCCGAGAAACAGAAAAATTCACCCCCAGTGAACAGGAAGGATGCTCCTAGAAATATTCAGGATAAAGATGCGTGAATTGGTTCAGGGGTGAACAAGTACAGAAGAGTGAGGATGCAGTAATGTTCCCCCATCATGGATCAGGCCAATTCAAGTGCGTAAACCCAAGAGCCAGTCACTGACTTGGCTGCTGAAGGCAAGCCTAAAAGTGTTGAAAACCCACAAGGCTGAGGCTGTCAAGTGTGCTGGCATAGATGAAAAATGACAGAGTCACAGTCCTCAGGCTCCTAGCTTTTGGGTGTTTTGTGCCTAACAAGGTTCCCTTTATCTTTTTGATAGCTTGTAACACATATTTATGAACACAGGGATTAGTACTTGCTTCTTTTCCATCTTTGCTGTTCTCTTACCTTTGTTACACATCCTTGGTTTTGGACACAATATTTGTACAGCTGCAGATGAAGCACCAAGATGTGTCCTTTCAGTTAGTGCTTAGTCGAGTATACCCTAGGCTTTGAAAGCTCTGGTAAACACACTCTCCGTTTTTATAATCAGCCCTTGATTCTGTTTTAGATGCGTGAGTATTCATAGAAAATAATCACAGAGGAGCAGTGTGGGCTGGATCAAGGGAGGAGGCATTTTGCAATCACCTGCTCCCCAAATATCATTCACTGAAGCACAATAGGAAATGTGCCTTAGTACCCGTTTCTGGTTTGGCTCGGGAATGGTCCTAGGCCACAGTGCTCAGGTCAGGATGCAGTACTCCTTGCAGCTGAGCATTTTGAGTGCAGAGGTGGAGGAAAGTCTTGCACCACGAGCACAAACCTCTAGACCTTTGGCAGGGCTGGGGGAAGGAAAGGGTGTGAGGCTACAGTTGCCCTTAGGCGTAGGTGAGCAAGGCTATTTCATATCCCTCCCTCTCCTTTCAGCCTGCAGACAATTAAGTTCCCACTGTAGAGGTCGAGATGAAGTGGTTGTAAGTAAGGAGAGATGATGTTAGCCTTTCTGAACCAAAAGGAGTCTGTGTGCTGAGCAGCCCAAGTGCTCTCAGGAGGACTCTTCAAATGACTCTGCTTGTCTCTCCAGAACAGCTTGCTAGATAAGAAATGCTGCAGTTCTGCTGTAGTACTTTTGCCACCAGCCCCTTTCTCAGCTCGCTAATTAATTAATCATCTTTTTCTCTTCTGCTTTCTTTCCCTCATTCATTTTCAGCAGTTGCAGCAGCAGTCACATTTGCCTCGGCAGCATCTGCAGCAACAGCGGAGCCCGTATCCAGTGCAACAGGTCAATCAGTTCCAAGGTAAAAGTCAAATTCTTTTTCCTATATTGGAGTCAATGTATGCCCCTGTAGCGGGCCTGTGGAAGTTCATGCGTTTTGTGGAGACCAGGGTTTAAGCAGTGTGCCAGAAGAGGAAGACAGGCTGTTGCACCCTTGCACATACTGCATATTTACCAAAGGGGAATGCCCAGGTTTGTGTATTTAGTTAAGTTTCTAATTTCCTTTCTGCTTCCCTCAGCGAAAGCTGCATTTTTTATTTGACATTTGTTTTGCCTCTTTGACATCTGGATTCTATGGATTTATCTTGTTTGCCTTCATTCTCATTATGCTTTTTTTTTTTCCAGCTAGTGTCTCACACTGTATCTTGGTTTTGCCCCTCTTCATTCCCCACTTTATCTAATTTGATGAGCAGAGAATTTCAGAAAGGTGATTCTTATCTGGAGAAGTGACTGATAAATGTCAGGTGTGGGAAACACAGTGAAATATCTGAGATGTAAATGGAGATTTTTTAATGATCTCAAAAAAAGCAAGTATTATTTTAATGTGCTCACAGATAACTGAAGAATGTAAATACAATCAGTTTGGCTTAGGAAAATAAGTTAATTCTGAGCTTTTTAGGTGCAAAGTATCCACTGAGTGTCTTCAGTAACCATGGATTCTAAACAGATGTGAAACGAACATGCACTTGCACTCTATATTCATGATAGTGTCATGTAACTGCAACAGAAGATGAGGGAGGCAAGCATATTGCAGTTCTTGTACCCAGGAAGTGAACAGGTAGCCAGATCTGCTGCTGGTATGTATCAGGGTGGCTACTTCTAATCACCTTCTCATTTTTATCTTCGGCGGCATAAATTCTGTATGAAATTCCCCCCCCCCAATAAATTAATTTGCAAAATCAAAATGTATGTGTGTGCACTGTCATGCATTGAGATGCACATGTAAAATCTTTCTGCATTAATGCTTCTTTGAAACCTTGCCTTCATATGTATTATTTAAAAGAAATGGAGAAGAGAGTTTAGGCTAATCTGACAGAGCAAGGAACTAATTTTCATAAATGAGCTAATTTAAATATAAATATTTCACCATTTTTCCTATTTAGTCACAAGAATGTAATCTAGTGCAGTGGGTTATGTGTAAATGAGACCAGAAGGTGGCCCAAAATTTTAAAATCTGTTGCATCTGTCTTTTAACTGCTCCTTCTCTGATCTCCTGTCTGTTATGCCAAGCCCAGTAGTTAACAAAAGTAGTATGTGAACCACTTGCTGGTAGTGACTCTGTTGGAGGTTTTCAACTGCCATTTTCAATTAAAAAGTAGCTAAAGATGCATTAAATAAAGTTTTTCACATTATCTGTATCATCTTAAGCACTTGCTGGAGTCATTGTAAAAAGAGACTGTTTCTAATCATGGAAGGAGGAGGTGACCTAAATTAAGAAAAATCAAGGGGACCCTAGTGCCAATCATTAAGAAAACAGTTTGATAGCATGGATAAAGTAAAAGCTGCCACTACATTTGCCCTGTTCAAATGAGATCCAGGTGGTCTCTCTTCATGCTACAAAACGTTTCATTTATCTATATGTTGGAGCTAAAAGCATCCTCCAGAAGCTTATCCTGCTGCAGCAAAAAGGAGGTGTAGCCATCCTCTGCATTATATGCAAAACTATAGAAATGACGCTTCCTTTATTCACACCCATTTCTCATGGAAACCAAGCCAATGTAACTAACAGGGCCCAGTACTCGCTATTCTCCGCGGATGTTCAGGTATGTTGTCCGTCACAGAGGAACAACAGATAGGGGCTGATTTAAGAACATTCAGATTTTGTTGTACAATTTGTGACTCTTAAAGCAACCATTTTATATTTACATCTTGCATTTAATAATGTTTGAGCTGGGAGTAATGGTATGCCTCATGCTCTCGGAGCTTCACCTGCAGAGTATTGTATTTAGTTTGGTATGGTAGTGACTCAAAACCACAATGAACCCATGGCATACTCAGAGCTCCGGTAATTGTTTTTAAATAAAGACAGTAAATACAGAAGCATATTGGCTTCCCAGAAATCGATAGCTCCCCCCATCTCTGAAGGGAAGACACAAGCATGGTTCAGTTATCTGCCACGGTGTGGAATTTAACAAGGTTAGGATTTTCTGGTTTCCCATCACTGGCCTAAGGTGGAGTAAAATGTGCTTATAATATTGATTCACTAATACACTCTCCCTGCTTTAAATGTCCACAAAAAACAATTTTTCTTCTTTCCTTAGACTTAATCAGTAACAATGATATAGAAAATCCATTCATTTATGCCTCCTGAGCTATTAAAAAATTGATTGGCTTTCTGAGCCTGACACTTCCATTTTCAAGGCTTACTTTTGAAAGACAATGGAGATATTTAAAAGAGAGCTTCAAATGGTAAACTGAAGTTCACCTGCATGCTGCCATTGAAGAAGACCAATGGCAGCTTTCTCATTTGCTTGCTAGAAGCTGAATTAGGCTTATCTGAAGAAGATAAGTGCTACTACATCACAGTGCATATGCAACTTTGAAGTCTTAGGGACTAATTTTTTTCATGGAGGCGGGTGCACATTGTCACTGGTCCTGGGATAAAAAATACACACAAAAAGAAAGACTTGTATTTACTTTTGAAAGGCGACTTTGACTCCCAGGTCAAATTTAATCTCTGGTCCTAGCGAAGTAAGAGAAAGGCAGGCCTATTTTAGCCCTGCAGCTCCCGTGGCTGTCTAGCTTAGGTACCTGAGTAGGTTATTATCTGAGAGGCAACCATGGCTGTAATCATGCATCACGCATGCAGTCGTGTTGCCTGATTCTTCAAGAATCTGAAGCCATGATTCCCTTTGGGTACACATCCCAAAATTGTCATAATTGAGAACTACTTAGTGAGTAAATCATTGGCCTTTTAACCTTGCCAGTCTCATTTTAGCCTTAAGGGAAATTAGGCTGCTCGCCTGCATTGATGGTATTCTCTGCTGAACAGTGTCCCGCTTCACGAATTGAATACCTAACACGATCAGCGATCCTGTTTAGGGTGGCACTTGAGCTGTGTTGACTCTCACCTTCAAGGAGAGGGGATTTGTCAGGTCAGGACAGAGGCTGCAGCCAGAGTGAGGTGGGGAACACATAATCTCTGAAATGCAACTATCGTTAGGCAGCAAGCACATCTCCCAAGGATGGATAACCTTCTAGCTCTCTGGTAACCTTCACGTGAAGCGATAATTTATTCACTCAGAAAGCACAGGGATCTGAAATCCTACTGTGATGCAGAAGGGTCCTACAGATTCTCTCTTATGCAAAGACGTGTTAATTACAATTTACAGGGTTGTGGTTTTTTTCTTACCTTCCTCCCTTTTTGGTGTAGGTTCTCCCCAGGATATAGCAGCTGTGAGAAACCAAGCAGCACTCCAGAGCATGAGGACATCCCGAATGATGGCCCAGAACGTGAGCATGATGGCAATGGGTCCCTCCCAGAACCCGAGCACACTGCCCACGACCGCAGGCCAGTCAGACATGGGCATGGCTCCTTACAGCAACGCCTCTTCCAGCCAGCCGGGAATGTACAGTATGAGCACAGGGATGAGCCAAATGTTGCAGCACCCAAACCAAAGTGGCATGAACATGGCACATAACGCAGGCCAGGGAACGAGGCAGCCTGCTTCTGGACAAGCGGTGGGAATGGTCGGCACTTTTGGTCAGAACATGCTGGTAAACTCTGCTCTTCCCCAGCATCAGCAGCAGATGAAAGGACCTGTGGGCCAGGTCTTACCCAGGCCACAGGCACCACGGCTTCAAAACCTGATGGGGACTGTCCCTCAAGGAACACAGAACTGGCAGCAGCGAGGCTTACAAGGTATTCCCGGAAGGACTAGCAGTGAAATGGGGCCCTTCAATAATGGCACAACGTACCCGATGCAGTCTGGGCAGCCACGGCTGTCCAAGCAACACTTCCCACAGGGGCTTAATCAGACAGTTGTGGACACAAGTGGAACAGTAAGAGCCCTCAACCCAGCGATGGGAAGACAGTTGCTGCAGCCACTACCGGGGCAACAAGGAGCCAGCCAGGCCAGGCCGATGGTAATGCCTGCAATAAGCCAAGGGGTCCCCACGATGTCTGGCTTTAGTCAGCCTCCAACGCAGCAAATGCCAGGTGGTAACTTCGCTCAGAGCAGCCAAGGCCAGGCCTATGAGAGGAATCCCACTCAGGACATATCTTACAACTACAGTAATGAAGGAGCGGGGGGGTCATTCTCCAGTTTAGCAGAGGGCGCAGACCTTGTGGACTCCATCATTAAGAGCGGACCAGGGGATGAATGGATACAAGAACTTGATGAGTTGTTTGGAAACCCCCAGTGAATGGGCTTGTATAGTCTGGAGCTTTGGTTGTTGTTTGAAAAAAGAAAAGAGAGAGTTGGATGTTCTCCCCATCCTTGGATTGTTGGGGTTTTGTTTGAAGTGGTTTGGTTTGGGGTTATTTTGTTTTCTTTTGTTTTTAATCGTGCAAACTGAGCTGATCTGTAGCCAACTTTGGAAGATTCAGGGGACGATGAAAACATCGGCATCCCAAGACTTCCACCAAGCAATCTCCGTTGTGTGGCAGCACCCGCTGTGGGGGGGTGGGCAGGATGGGGGAAACTGGAAAAGCCGGCTGATGCCTCTGGTTGGGAAAATTTGGTCTTTCCCCACTGAAACGAGGCTTCATTGCACAGTGGTATGGGGTGGTCCCGATATCTCCCGCCTCATGTAACTGTAAACACTGCAACTTTCAGGGGAACAGATGAAAACAGCTGGGAACAAAGCCTAAAGACGTCCGTGGGCGATTGCACAGGCCCTGGTCAGAAATGGGCTTAACCCCGGGGGTAAGCAGGTCTCGGTGAGCCACAGCCAGGCCCATGGTGCTGGCTCTGGGCTGTCACAAGGGAACGTGCAGCGCACACGTGACAAACCTAAACAGTCACAGGGAGGTCACCATTTTCACTGTAGAGTGATAAAAATCCAAGAAAAGTGTAGGAGAACGTAAATTTGGCAGTGTGGTGAGGACAGTTTGATTATGGGACTGCTGCCGGACATGGCTTAGGTGGGTGGGTTAACTTAATGAGCTATTTAGTCCCCTTGGGACTTGCAGTAGCGCTTCTCTGTCAGAGCACTTTGGCATGTGCTGCCTGGCAGTGCAGAACAGCAGCTATGAATGGTGTTGAAGGGCTGGGAGGTACCAAGTGGGTCCTAAGCAGGTCCCTCTCTCTCTCCTTCCTCCCCAGTATGTTTTCAATTCACTTCCTTCCCCTCCTATCCTTCCGTGCAAAGCAAGCTGGCTGCACTTTTTTTCGGGTGACCAACAACTGCCACAAAGGTGCAGGCAGGGAAGGAGACAACAGGCATGAGAAAATGTACAGGGAAGGTTTGGCACACAGAATGAGTTTCTCCTCTCCTCTTGAAAAGTGCAGGGTTGGCAGATAGTATTACCCTGGAGTGTCTGGGTTCTCGATGTGATGTTATATGCAGCCTGATCTTCAGTTTTAAACAGATGTTTGGTCTAATCTCTCTGGTTTGCTGGAATAGAATTCACTGCAGTGTTTGAAGAACAAGAACCAGTGAAGGACTAGTAAAGATCATTCGTGAATGGGTGAAATAATGGATGCAGTTATTACAAACATGGGGTCTGCCCAAATAAGCTTTTAGGTAATAGTGACATATCACTATCTCCACTGTGTGGACCAGTTCTAAGCCGCACTGTAATGAAGTTGTGGTATGCCTTGCATAATATTGAGATGCCAGCCATTCTGAATGTCGAAAGCAGCGGTTCCCAAGCTGCAGTCTGAGGCTGAGGTAAGCTGTCCTCCGAAACCTACCACCTTTTTAGTGTTTTCAGCTGAGAGCTGCTTATCAGGTTATATAGTGGCGCATAAAAAAAGTTAACGTGATCAACAGTCCAAAAAGTTTGGGAACCTCTGGCCTAATGCTGGCCTCTGTGAGCCATAAGATGTGCTGTGCAGTGAAAGTGTCTCTAGTGTACAACTACCAGTACCAACTACAGCTACTGATTACCTCCTTGTGCGCTGCTCTCCTTGGGCCCGGTGATGCAAAGTGCTCGGCTGCTGAAATCCACGGGAGCTGAGGGGCTCAAGCCCTGCCTTTCCCTGTGGAGCACAGAGACGCATCACATTAAGGAGTGGGAACAAAATGGGCCTGGAAGCATCTCAGGGCGCCATTACGGTTCCCTTTCATGCAGTAATCCCTTGCAGGGCTTACCTAGACAAGGGGAAGTGTCTGTTTTAAATGCTATAACGTAGGCAGAACAAGCTGCATTTTTAACATGGACTAGCTGGTCAAGATGAGCTATCGATCCAGCTTGCCCTGACTGCTAGATTTTTAAAACATGCTTTAGTTACATCTCTTTTAGCTGACCCCTTTTTAAAATACAGCAGAAGGACCTATTCCAGTTCTAGCTGAAGACGATAGGGGTTTGCCTGTCTGCTGCTTCAGCAGGAGCTGGATTGGGCCCTAATTCAGTGAAAGAGAGCACCAGCCAAAGTTTTCAGTCCATCTTGCGGGTAAGCGGCTCTTGGTCGGACTAGCCTGAACGGAAGGGGTAAGCAAACAATGAGAGAAATGGTACCCTGAAGATTCGAGGGCGTCTGCATATGCGTGTGTCTGCGTGAGCATGTGGGCGAGGGAGCGACGAGCTGGTGTGGCACATATGTGTCCTGCCCCGTATGACAGAGGCACGCCAGGACGAGGAGGCAGCGAGCCCGCTGCGCGGGGGACGGCGCTGGGGACGGCACGGCATCCCTTTGTCGGGTGCCAGTGACCGGGGGTCATCTGCCAGCACAGAGCTGGGAAATGAGGGTTTAGAAACACGCAACCACCACACTGCGGCCAAGTGCAAACCCATGTGCATCAGGGAGATACAGGCTTTGGTGAATACATGGTGATGAAGACTGAGTCTCTGTTGTCTTTGCAAAGCTTCCTCCAAATACTCCGTACTGGGACCAAGTACTAGAGAGGTAGATTTTATTAGATTTGGGGTTGTTTTTTTTCTTTCTTACTATGGTGCTGATGTATATGTAATGTTAAAAAAAAAAAAGTTATTTGTAAATATGTTTTTACAATTCTACAGATATCACTGGGTCTACTATCTGTAAAATATATACATATAAATATATATATATACTGTTTGTTTAAAATAGAGTATTTTTATTTCATTCCTTAACTCATCCTTACTGCAGTGGTATTGCACTTCAGATGACGTCTAATTACTAATTTGTACTGTATCCCTGACGGCAACTTGCTCCATTTTATTCAGATTTTTCTAGTTTTCTGTTTTTACTTTGTACATTAAGCATTGCTTATTTCCTTTTAAGACCTGTACAGAGCTCTGAAAATGTAGAAGAAGACCTGATGTTAACATACCACTTTTAAAGAAAAACAAAACAAAACAAAACCAACCAAACAAACAAAAAAACAAATAAAAGATGGTTATCTGAGTCATATACCGGGCTGGTTTATAGGGTCATCTCTCGCCCCACTCCTGCGCCTCGGTGGGTGATCTTCCAGGGGAAGGAGGGAAGCCGGCTTCAGGCAGGCCTGGTTTCAGCCCCGGGGTTGCTGCACGGCTGCCTCACCGCACCCTGCGGGGCTGCCCTGGCCCGGCCGGAGTCGGGGCGTTACAGGCGGGGTATAGCCCCGCACTGGGCCCCGGGCTGGTTCAGCAGCTGGTAAACCCGCTGCATGCCGGTTAGCCCCGCTGGGCAGACCCGAGCTGCAGGTTGCGGTGATGAGCTGCTGGGCTGGGAGTGCTTCGTCGGGAGTCTGCCTTGCTTTGGGGTCACGGTGCCCCTTGCTCGGAGCAGGGTGAGCTATCAAAACTGCCTGTGCTCCGAGGCGAGGTCTGCGCTCCGGCAGTTGCTACGGGGGACTTGGTCCCTAACTGGGCCCGTTAGAGACGGCAGCTCCAAACTTCTGCGTTTATTCCGTGTAGGGAGCAAAAGTAGCAAGTAGGGAAGTGCTTCCAGGGGAGGACACAAGATGGAGAGCCCAGGATTCGGGAGTCCTGTGGCTGAGATCTGGGGAGGTGAGGTGGGCTGGAAGAAGGGAGATGCGGGGTTGGATGTAGAAGTTGGAAAGAAGAGATGGGGAAACTGGGGAAGCGTGAAGACGCATGTTTAGAGTAGTTCCCTATCACCTACTACTACTACACTGTAAGAATTGTGTTGTCAGAAGCCTTTTGGAAAGTGCATGTCGGCTTGTTGAATTTATATGACCCGTTCCAGATAAACATGTCACGTAGCCTTCGAGGCTTGACACCGATTTCTCCATGTTGCCAGCCTACCGGGGAGCTGTGGGGGATCAGACATTGGACCTCTGTTTGCAGAGCTTGCTCTTCGGGATGTCAGTGTGGCCTGGCTCCACATACAACCTTTAAGGTGAGGTTCCCCTTCTCTCCTTAACGTCAGCCCTTGACCATTCTAAATGTGGATAATGGGGCACAAAGAAGGAGACTGGCCCATATCAGAGCAGCTCACCAGAGTTACTCCTCAGCGTGTGCTGGCAGAGGGCTTGCTGAGAAGAGATGCTTTCAGCAAGAGGCCCCTAGGTACTGACTGGCTTTGAAGCTGCAGCAGGGGCCATCATTGTTTCTGATCCTGACTGACAAATGAACGTTTGCGTCAACTAACAGTGTATAGGCTGAATGTGCAGCCCGATACTGACTCCTCAGTCAGCAGGCAGGAAATGGTGTGGTTCTCGCTAGAGTTAAACTAAATACTGACTCTGACAGTATCCATCTATTATAGGTGTATTTTGTTTTTAATGATAGATGAGTCAGTCTTTAATGGTTTTTGAACATAGACATTCTGTCCTGGCTTACTGGGGAAAAAGCAGTGACTCAGAAGACAGGCGGCATCCTCAGCTCTAGGCCTACTTCTGCTCTCTCGTTAGGTGGTGCAGCTCCTAAAATGTTAGGTTCATGTTTATTCCCTAGCACTCTGGCTTTGTGCTGCTGGGTGATGCTTTGCAGCTTCACACCTGCGTTTTCTGGCATGTGAAATTGTCCCTGTGTGACAGCAGTTTATTCCTTTCTGTCGAATGGAATGGAGTGGAATGGAATGGAATAGAATAGAATGGAATAGAATAGAATTAGATGCGGTATGGGAAGCTATCTATAAACACGCCAAATCACTGCAACAGGTAAGCTTGGAATGGAATAATTTCAGAGGCAAAGACCTATTTGAACACAGTTCGTGACCTTTGGGCCTCCTCTAGTGTGTATTTCAAGCCTGTTCTGTGGACGCCTTTGTCTTGGTTTTGATTCTGGCGGCAGCACTTCCTGCTGCCCGTGACCGACGGAAGGCATCACTGGCAGGTGGGTAGGTGGATTTTCTGTCTCTCAGCCTGTAGAAGGAAAGTTGGTGGAACAATTCCCAGTGATTTCTGTGGTTAAATCTGGCCCTGTTGTACTTTCTTCCTGGAGGCAAGTGCCGGAGAGTTGCCCTTTCCGCAGCTGTGTCAGCTCCAGCCTGTTCACCATCACAATCTGTCCTCTTCCGCTTGGCAGCTGTTATTGGACCCAAGTCTTGCACCTTTGTACTTGTTTCATTTTATTGTTTCAAATGCCATTTCAGCCTTTGCCACCTGCAGGCACTTAGTTGTGTCTTTTAATCACAATCTAACTTCTGCACATGTGTCCACCTTTTTCATATGAAAGGTTATTATGAACCTGATCCAACACTCAATTATTTTGTGGTCAGGTTATCAACCTCAGTACACTTTTAGAAAGACCATAAGCATTTTCATTATACAGACCTGAGTGAACACCACTATAAATGTGCCGTATTTTTAGCCTAATCATGTCTTCAGAGGCATGACAAGAAAAATTTCTGCCTGCTGGCTCTAGCATTGCCTGAATAATTTGAATTATCAGGAGCTACCAGAATAGGCATGGCCTTGCTTCTCCTCTCCTCTACATAGTTTAAATTGACCATCAGCATACTTTGAGCTCACGGTGGTAGGCCGTGACTTTTCCCCCCTTTTAGCAGAAAACTGTTTTCATAGTCAGTTTGCTTTTCATTGTCATTTTGTGATTCCCAGAGCTGTGGCCATGCTGAGATGTTTGTCTCGTCTTTCCCACACCCCAGCCATCTGTGCCTTGGTGGGAGACAATGCAGTAGACCCAATTGTTAGATGAGCATCTGTGCCGCCTTTTTGTCTGGGATGGCTCTCCCTCTTGCAAGTGCTGCGCTGTGGGTACAGCCTGTCTTCGAGAGGCTTTGTGTGAGGACTGGAATCTGCCTACAGGAGGGCCCCACTTCTACGAGAAGAGTGTTTGAGCATGTGTTGAACTGTAAACGTACGTATAAAATCAAAAGGCCTTCACAGAAACGTAGGGTCAAGTGCAGCTTTAAATGTTTTCCTGAAGAAAGCGGTGTTTCTATATATGCTTAAGCAGCCTCCTGCAGTGGGATTGGATATACTTGGAAAATTGGGACCTCGCAGCAGCATACTGCATCAAAGCGTGTTTTTACATTTGTGCAGAATGGATGGCACTGCTGGGGGAAATGAAGAGGAGTGAAGGAAGACTACAGAGGCGTTGGCAAAGCTGAAGGACATTGGGTAAGATGGGTTGATGCTTGCAGTGCCAGTTGCAACTAAATTACTTAGTGAATTAATGGGTTTAGTTTTATGTAATTTGTTTACGGTTTACAATACTGTATGGGAAAACAGAACATTTAATTGCAAATGCAGATGTGACATGACATTCTGTCTTACTGCCTCCTTTTCAAGAGTGTAGGGAAAGGGGAAAGCGTAAACAGCTCAGGAAAAACATGCATTTTACATTGCAACAGGCTGTTCGTAAAGAGCTCTGATGCTTTATTCACACGCAGCTTATCATCTTTTTGGTGTTCAGGGAAAGCATCCACATTATTTATTTGTTTACAAAAACCCCCAGTCTTCAGAACAATTTACGTAGTTTCTTCATAATGCTGAAGTCCAGGTATTCATCCAGAAAGCTGTTAACAATCCCCGCTGCACCCAGGGTTATCAAGCACATTAGAATTATCAAGTTCAAATAAAAACCTGTTAACCTAGAAGTGGAAAGCAGAAAAATACTGTTACAAGCTGTACATGGTGTGTTTACAGTGAAACTGCTTGTCCACACCAGTTAAGAAGAGGTGTGTAGAACTGGAAAGGATCACTGCTGCAACGCTGCCTTGGTTGTTTTGGTAATAAACCATTCCCGCACACGACTTTTGCTAGGGAGAAGAGAGATTCGTAGTATCCTCTCTATGGGAAAACTCTCCCCTGGTGCTTCTAAATATTCATGTGGAAGTTAGGAACTTGCTCCAGGATGAAGCTACCTCATCCCATGACATGAAGACCTGTAGGTAAGGCCACAGACAAGCTTGAGCACCTCACTGCAACTCTGGGTGTAGGAGAGTGGGAGAGAAGCCTTCAGGGCCGAGAGAGAGCTGTGTGTGTCTCTTACATCCACATCTGTTGGTCAGGTACTCTCCGCTGAGCTGGGAGGTGTGCTGCTGGTTATCACCTTGACTTGGAGATGGATTTTTGGACTGGAAAGGAATAGTGTTGATCCTAAAAAATCAGCGATTAGGGCACTTGCTGGGGATGGGAGAGGGTCAGGCTGTTTTATTTGTACAGAATGGAAAGCTCCCACAGAAGAGGCTGGGAGAGCCCTTCAGCTCTGAAACACAGAGCTCACTTTTTGGGCACATGGGAGGAAGGAGCTTCCCCTCCATGCACGCTCTGCTGGGGCTGTTCTCTGGTCTGACAGGCATATTCTGGGAGTTGCTGCTGGGTTGGGTTCTGCCAGCAAAGCAAGCAACAAAAGGTCTCTTTGGAGAATCCCATCACATTAGCATTGGAGAGAAAGGTCTGAGGAGCTTGTCAGCCTTCGATTTATAGCTAGCTATCCCCATACCCACAGAAGCTGAAGGGGTTAGGTGCTCAGGCACCACTGGGGCTGCGGGGAGCCTGAGAATCTCACTGGTGCTTAAAGACTTGATATAAGTAGCCTTTCTGGGCATGCCATGTCTAGATGCGGATTTGAAAATGGTGAAGTATGAGATTTCCTCAGTTTCAGGAGAGGATGAGAAAAGTCTTTAGCTTAGCCTTTTAAGCATCTGTCAGAGCCGGCTGAAGGGAAGGATAGAGGGTACAGCTCACTTCCAAAGGTCTCTCCAGCACAGAAACTGAGTAGAAGGTGCATGTTCCTGTTGTGTTCTTAAAAAATCCAGCCTTGGCAAATCTGAACTGCAATTCATGTAGTCAAGTGCACGAATATGTGTCGTAACCAGGTCTTTGAGCACATAGACCGGATTTGTCTTTATAACTAGCACGGCTGTAGTTAGTCTGTGATTACAGTTGAGACTCAATTGAAGACTAATTGCCTTCTCACTACTAGGGCTGCTGGAGGCTTGTTGTATGTTTTGGGGGCCAGGTTCTGCATGTCTGACTTGCACTGACCTGTTGCTCACTGAAGCGCCTGCTGGAGGTTAGCACCAGGCAGGCCAGCAGCAGCAGGCCTCGTGAGCAAAGCTGTTTTCTAGGGCTGCCAGGGTGACTCTCGGCACCCTCTCTTCAATGCAAAGAAATTAAGAGTCTCACCAGAGTGTAAAGCTCTGTCTAATAGTGAAGCCAGCCACTGTTCTTAGGTTTCCTTGAGAGGCTGAATCTATTGGTCTAAGAGTACTGAATTAAAGCACGGGAAAGATTTCTTGAACAAAGGACTTTTTAGTTTGTTGATTAAAGAAAAGTCTGTTATGCTCTGCCTGTTCATTTATTTACATGGTTTTGCTCCCCAAACTTCCTTAATAGTTGCTAGTCTTCTGGCTGGTGTTCATTGCATCATTTAAATTATTGCATCTCTTACTGGGAGATATAAAATTATCTCCATATATTTGCTCTGGAAAACATAGCCTCTCCCTTCTCTTAAGCAACAGCTCTTCCAAAGAGGGTAAAGGATTGGTGGAGACTGTAGTAAAGGAGAATCGGTACACAAGCTGTAGAAAATAGCCCTGCAGTACAGCCTTTTGCTGCCAAAGGATTATTCACTGCAAAATAGTCTGATTGTTTTGTATCTTCCCTAGAAATATATATCACAAGCCTTTTAATTTTATGACAAGCATATATCGTCCTATTTTCTTTTTATGACTGATATGTGTGCTGGAAGAGGAACCTTAGGTCAGGATGCAGAAGAAAGTGCAATGACTTCAGTGAAACAAGAAATAAACTGCATGTTTCAGCATTTATAGTGGAGGGTGTTTTGCCAGCGTGCATGTTTGTTGCAGCAGAATTCATGTTACGAGATGCTGTGCACTTAACGTTCATTAACGTATGCTTATCTGAAGCTGTGTTCTCTTATCTGTGTGGTGAAAGTTCATCAGCCTACAAGGCCAGATATGCTTGGTACCTTTAGTGCATTTTGTATGGCTAGAGTAAAGGTCTTAATGTGACAAACTGAGGAAAAATGAAAACAGCAGACAGGCAGGCAGGGTGCAAACCTTGCCTGAGCAGTCTCCCATCCTGCAGCAGTCCTGAGCTGCAACACTGTGCTTCTGTTTTCAGACCTCTCTGAGTCTGGGTGCCAATATGCTCAGTACAAAGTGAGCACCCACAAGGTGAGCATCAAGCCTTTTCTCTCTTGTGACCTGTAGCACGTGCACATCTTAACCTAGGCTTCTACTGTAACAGCCAGCCCTCTTCCCTGAGGGTTTCCGCTTCAGACCTCTTGCTGACACTTTACACATGTTGCATTCAATTATAGTCACTTTTCACTGCCAGTCCTTGGCTCTCAGCCCAGCTTCAGACCGCAGCCTGGAGCTTTTAACCTGCATTCAGATGGTAACTCCTTACCTTCCTTTCACAGACTGTACATAACCATGGAAGTACTTGTAGCGGGCAAACATGTACAACACACCCAGAAAGGAAGCCAATTCTAAAAAAGAAAAGATTGGGGGGGGGGGGGACTGTTAGAAAACTAAAAAAATGAGGATTATAGACAGTTAGACACTTCAGTTATGTTTTCTAGTTGTATAGCTCTGAGGATTTTCATAGCTACCCATACCCTGGGAAGTTATCTTGGGAAAGAATCATTCAAAAGAGGTATATGTATTCTCAAACATTCACTACAGAAGGCTCTTGATATGGGTTTACAGATAGGGGTGGGCATAGGACTGTCCAAAAAAAAAATCTAAAAGCATTCCCAGAAAAGGAGATATCAAGAACTGACAGGAATCTGTAGCTCCCCCCCTTGCCCCAGTTTGGTGGTTATCCCAGAGACAGGATAGTGGGTTGGAGCACTGTGGCTTGACCCAGCGCTGTCATTTTCTATTGTTATGGCAGTTCATGCTAAAGGGGAGTGTTTGTTTTGGGAAGAGAATCTTATTTATGTTGTTAATAACCTGCTTTGCATTTATATAGCAGCTTTTATCCAAGGACATGAGAGAAAGCTGTAGTGAAGTTAGCTTTCTGACCTCCCTGTGGGAAGAGTATAAAGTCACTTGCATTTGATAGATGGAGCAGGGTGTGTAGGTCAGTCGTATTATCCAGGACTAAGCTGGATAATTTTGTGTTCTTTCAAACCGTGCGAGTGAGTATTACAGAGGACAGCTTTTACTGTGTTCTGGATTAACTCGTGTAAACATACCTATGGGAGATGCTCAGCTGAAAAAATGACTTAAAGAGGAGGTTAACATAATCCTTCTTTTCTAACATATGACAGCACATCTGTGTTGCTGGTTAGCAACTGTCATTTTCCTCAATTCGAGTGTCTGTCTATGAGCACATGTACTATCTCCTATCCGATTTGTTGACTTGTGTGGTGCTACTTTTTATTTACATTGGATTTGCAGTGGAGATGGGACTCTGGCTAGAAGAGAATAATTCTGTTTTGGAGCAAACACAGAAAATGGAGAAGTAACCTAGTTGTTCAGGAAGGAGAGGTATAGTGGGCATGAGCTAGTTATCCTTTCTCCAGCCCACAGACTTCATGCTTCTAAAACATCACCTGGGGAAGGGTTGATAAAACAGAATGCAAAAATTAGGCTCTGTCACAAGTTCTAGCTCTAGGAGAGTCCACCCCATCACTGTTAGGAGACATCACAGACCCACCTTGGAAAGTCCAACAGAGAGAGAGGTATGAAAGCTCTGTGGTGTCTGAGTTCAGAACATTTGACCAAAAACCACGCCCCTGCTATGCAGCTGAGAAAACAGATTTTCCTGAGTCCCCACTGTCTACCTGAAGTACAATATCTATGGCTGGAGATGCTGCTGTTATGACTGTGCTTCAGTGCTCAGTGCTATGTCCCAGAAGAAACAAGTCATAGCCCAGTGGTGGTGTCACTCATCTGGGATGTAAAAACCCAAAGGTTTGCTGGCTTGACCTCTGTCTCCATCAGCTGGAGGTCCAGCTACAGGGATGAGTGTTCTGACCTGAGCCTTTTCAGGCTGCCTCCTCCCCAGGGATGATAGCTATGCTTGATGTCCTGTGAGAATTGTCCCATAATTTGCAAATAATTGTTAGTGGGAAGCATCTATGGAGCTGCTTTTCTGAACGTTTCACCCTGCAAATCCACTGAATGTGTGATAAATGTGCCATGTACTGGCTCCTTGGTTTGCAGAGAGAAGTGATAGCTGGTGGGGCTATGTGAAACACCATGACTAAGCGAGGATTTCAGTGTCACTGAGCATTTTTCGAGGAAGGCTATGCTACGGCAATGCAATTAAAAGAAGGGGAAAAGAATGTCTACAGTCATTTATCTCCTGATAAAATTAAAGTGTTTTAAAAACTTATGTAAAACTTCTCAGTCCAAGATAAAAACGAAAAGTGTTTACCTTGGTTACAAAACCATCCTGCAGTCCAGAGGACGGTCAGGAATATTGGGTAAAACTCCACACAGTTTTGTCTGCAGAATAAATTTGAAAGAACATTAGTCTGGAAAGAAAAAGAACTATGGGTGAGATTTTCAAGGAGAAACAGCTTTGGCCTCATTTTGTTGCCACTGAAGTTAATGCTATCAAATCCAGTGGGAGCACAGTCAAGCCAGCATTAGGCACTCTTAAAAATTCTCTTCTTTGTGTCTCAAATACAAACTATTTAAAATATTTGCCTGGTATTTAAACTTACACAAGGATCTGGATCCCAACTACATGGAAATAAATAGGACAAATAATCCTAAATCAAGTGCCTGTGCAGCAGAGGCAGGCAGGAATTCTAGCACATGGATGTGGTGTTAATCACTTCTCTCCATACTCGGTATGCAAGTTTTGTGGGTCAGCATTCTCGGGACTGCAAGAGGAGGCGCAGAGCTGTGCATGAGCAGCTTGGATTGATCTGCTGAGGCCCAGCTGCCTTTATGAAGTGCTATCAGGCACAGGCAGCACATGATAGATCTTCTTATGGCGAGGACCATAACACCTTTATTTGCGGACATCATCAGTTTTCCCACCAATATTTTGTTGGGATATCTTTTCTTGATTGTTCTGAATGAATTTATTTTTAACAAATTAGGCAACCTTCTATATCTAACATATTCTACTATCTAATACATTGTCTAATGTATTCTATGCCTCGTTATTGTTATCCACTACAACTACAGTTACAGCAGATGTGATTTGAAATAAATATAAATACTTTTGCATAGGGTCATTAGCTAATCACAAACTGAAGCCCTTTAGGAAAACGGTGTCTCCTTAGACAGACTATTCCACCGCTATCTACTGTGAAGACAGAGGTTTTCTGTGCTCTCGTCTTCCACGTGTTTGGTGTTAGCCACAGTCCAAGAACAGATAGCGCAGCCTGCTAGATCCAGAACATCTGAATTGTCTAAGTTACAATCAATTAGCTCGCAGCCCCTCTTTAGGTTTGGGTAATCTGTTTGCCTACTTTGATCAGAATTTGAGCAGTGACTGTTTTAAATGGGCTGAATTTACCCCATTACCATTAAAATAATAGCTGAACCATTTAAAAAGTGATCTGTTCATTATTTTTCTTTCTTTTTTTTTTTTTAAGCAAAGGATGCAAAGAAAAGGTAACCTTTTAAGATAATGTTTTTGCTTCTCTTCTGGACTAAATTGTTATTCATTGCCACCATCTTAATGATCTCCAGACTTACTGTGCACGAAATGTTCTGTCAAATTCTGGACCTCCAGTGACAGCTGGGGGCATGACCTTGTGCTTCATTCTTGATTTCCCCACCAGCCAAGCAAAATGACCTGCAAGAAAAACAGGGGCTCACAAATTACACAATTCCTTAATTTGGTTGCATCCCTAACACGTCGGTAGTTTTTTAAATAGACATCATTGTTCTTCAGCTCTTTCCATTTCATTTGACAGAAAGAGAACCAATATTAGATGAACTAGTTTTTCCCCTACAAAAGTTTAGATCTTATCTTCAAGAGTGACACTCGTGAGGAAGGGGAAAAACTTCTATTTCAGAAATACTTTCATTCTCATTTTGCATATGCTACACTAGCTATGACTTAAATATCCTTCTGCCTCATCTGAATCCTAGAAGTGCACAGCCTAGGAGCAGTCTAGTCACTCTACAGTGGCAATGTGCTGCCTTAGCAGTATTTCAGTAACCAACTTGCACTGATGGAGGTCACTTCCCTACTTGTTTGAATAGCATATGGTCATTTTGTTTTACTGACACTAAGAGCTATGATGCTTTGAAGTATGGGGCAGCATTACAATCTTTGGAAACAAAAATCTGGTGGCCACCTTTTTAAAGTTATTTACCCATATCTTATAGTGCATGCTTTTCCATCTGTTGTTATAGTCTCGGACTCTCAAAATTCAGTATGTTGGAAAGAGCAGAAAGCTGCAACTGGGGAGGCTGTAGCCTGTTCCCTGCTCTCCACCTCATCTGCTGGAGAGCTCTGAGAGCTGTCTGTTGGAGGACCTCTGCTGTTTCCACCTCCACTGATTGGAGCTGTTAGTACTTACCTGTCTTGTAAAAAACATTTTTTAGAACTGATGCAATGCCATGAAGAAGATAGATTACTTACTGTACAGTGACTAAATATCAGTTACTCACCAAAAAGAACCCAAACCAATCAAACACTATCTCTGCGCTTCTGACCTGTATTTCTAGGATCACTTCTGATGTATATATATATATACCTCATTTTACTGATGTCCTCACTGCAGAAGTCTCCCCCTGAAAGTTGAATAGAGGCTCGCAAGGACAAAAGGCAATACACAGACAGCAATTTTCTGTATGCAGCAGAGCTATTGGGCATCACCCTGTTTGACTTTAAAACTCTCTGGATACCTGGAGTTATTTTTCTGGCCATGTCGTAGCCACCCTGTATGAGAAGCTTGCTATCTACCTTGTACCTAAACTTTACCTGGATCCAGAAACCAGGCACCCACCTGAGTTCACTGAAAAGACTTGTCTAAGGGGGAAGCCTAGAGCACACCATCTGTCCTCCCTTCTGGGAGCAGTGGCATTAAAATACAGCTAGAGATATTAGTGGTGCTGCCCTGTGCGCCTCTTATGTCTTAGCCTTGTGGCCAAAGCCTTTTCCCAAAAAAGCATTTTCCCATCTGTCTTCTCTTCATATAAGTAATTACGGGCTGTGTTCAAGTGACCTCTTAACCTTTCTCTCCAGAGGCTAGTCAGAGCATCTCAGCTATCTCTCTGTAAGGCAGGTATATGGGACCTTTCATTGTATTTGCATCCAGCAAGACCTCCTCCACTCCCAACCACACATCTCTTGTTATACCTGGTGATTCATCTGTCATTTGCCACCTTGCAGCCCTTTCAGAAGGGAAGAATGATAGCGGGAAGGTTTTAGGTAACATACTTCAGGGAGACTGAAACTCACAGAAGCACAAGAATTGCCTCTGAGAAATACTTTCCTGGAAAACTTAACTGAAAAGTTGCTTTTTAACTTCTGTCGCCCTCAGAATAATCTATTTTTTATGACAAATGCTACATGCTGGCAAATCCTGCCTGGCTTATCAGTCAAAGTTGTAGGTGAGCCATAGTGTTTTGTGCAAGGGTGTTTTTAGTCAGCAATGCGTTCCTCCTTTTCTGGCTGCACTGAGCCATTCAATACTTACAACCAGTCTGGGACCTGTTTTTTTCTACTGAGGAACTAGGGCAAGCCAAGGTGGCTCATTGCATCCAAGTCAGTTGAAAAAAGCCTTGAATGGATGCTGGACAAAATAAACTTACTGGGGGAAATAAGAAGATTAAAGCACTGTAGGGGCCAAATAGTTCTTGTTTGTTCAGTACAATTAACCAAAGCAAATTGTCAAGGCCATGGTACAACCCTGGCCTCAGCTGTAATGTGATTTGCCCTTGGTATTGCTTGGTCAGCAAGGCTCTAGCTTGGGGGGCAGAGATTTGCACATGGGAGACTCTGGTTAACCATACGTAGAAGCATGTTGTGATAGTACGATACTACAGCTGACTGTCATAAAATCCAATTCTTTAGTGGTTTCCACCGTGATTGATGGGAACTTTGCTTCTATTAGGGACAAGTGGGCTTTTATATGCCAATGAAAACCAAGCTGTGGCACTACGTAACAGAAGAACTAGAATCATGTCTGACACCTTAAAAGAAAAGGTGACCCTGGTGTGCAGAACAAGACAGGTGCCAACCAGGAACTCGAAAAGAGCTCAGGAGAGGAATAATTACTGTATTTTTTTGTTAACTGCATAGGACTTGCCTTTTAATTCCTTTCTGGTGAATGGAAAGTAGCGATGTAACTCCAAATGTAAGTTTTGTGATTATGGTTTAACAAGGGCTAAAGTAAATAATAAAGCAATGGGAGAGCTCTTCTGCCCCACCCACTGGAGGTGCTGTGGTGAGGACTCCAGAAAGCATTGCAGCAGGAGCAAGTAAAGATTTTCATAGCCTTTTCTTCCCCCTATATCAAGTTGTTCAATTCTAGCAGGCTAAATTACATGACTGAGGTAGTTACAAAGTATGCTTGACTTGCCTTTGTTCGCTTTTTTTTTTTTGCTTTCATCTTTAGGTGGCATTTATGGTTACTGAGTTAATATCTTTACTCTGAAAATACAGGAGAAAGCAGGCTTTCAAGGAACATTGCTCTCTAACATTTTGTATGTGTTAAGAAGCCTGTAGAGAAGCTGATACCTGTATCACAGTGTATGATAGTGCATCTTAATTTGCATGGCCTGGCCTAACAACCGTTAAAAAAGAAATCAAATACTTTTTAATAATGTCTTGCTGGATCCTGCAATCACTAAGAGTGGTTTTGAAAGGTGCTAGTTCAGAGAGATGCTTCAAATCAGAGAAGTAGTGGGACTCTGGTCCTCCCTGTTCTCTCCTGTATCAATGACTGGAATTCATTCTGTCCTTTCATTGGATTCCCTTGTTTTCCCATCAGTCTACAAAACCCTAATCTCGCAAGTGAATCTTAGCTGCTTAAAACTGGATTCATGACTGGAAACCACTTCCTGCATTGTTTCTGCTCTTTCTTTCTACCCTAGAGCATTTCTTGCACAGCTTAATCTTCCACTGACCTGATTCTTTGAATGGCTCTGAGACACTAAATCTTGTACCTCTGATGACTGCTAAGTGAAACCTGACTTCCAACACTGCTTCAGGGAGGTCCTACTGCCCATTAGCACCTTCCTAACTCAGGACCGGAGGCTCAGCAGAATAAACAGAAGAGCAAACAGCACTTGTAAACAGTGCTGTATATGGTGTCTGTATTTTGTTCACAGCAAGCGGTCACATGCTGCGCTACTCCCCTTACATGAACTGGTTATAACACATGCTTACGGTGCCGGTTTCACAACATTCATCTGAACTCCTGTAAATTAATCTGTGTTGGTTTACTCGTGCTAGAAGGCATGCTGAAAGTAAGCCAGGCTGTGATGATTTAAATCAGATCAGCAGATCAGATTCTTATACAGGTTTCTCTTTGGGCTTGATGTCAGACTGCCAGTGTAAATGAAAACCCAGGCTATCTTGTCTTTACTGTGATTTTAACTAAGATTAACTAATATGGCTTAACCCTCACAAGGAAGAACATAGGTATTTTCCCCCTCCCTTCACAGTTTCCATATCTGTACAATTCCTTGAGTTTTCAAACTGCAGTAATTTTCTGGATAATATTTGGTTGGTTGGTTGGTTTTGCTACCAGATAGAAGTGTTCTGTGAAGATCACAAGGGTATGTTGTAGCTGATCTGATGACAGAAAAAGAGAATGTAAATTTTAGATTCATTTTATTTGCTTTCTGTTGTGTTGGGCTCTTTTTAACCTGGAAGGGTCACATTCTCAAGCTTTTTTTCTGTGAGGTACAAATGTTATTTCAGTAGTTGAGGCTTTCAGAACAAATAAACAAACAATCAAGCCACATAGATAGCTTGCTAGATAAGTTGGCAGTACTATAGATATTTGAAAAAAGACAAGAGTAATTATTTTTAACTTTCTCTTAGTCTCAAACTAGTATAGCACAAATACCTTCAAAATGTACCTTTTCTCCTGGTGTAAACACAACTATATGAACCAACACATTTCAAAGAAAATAATAGCAAACATTAAAAATGCTACTGCAGTTTTAGACTGATAGACAGCAAAAAAGAGCATCTCAGACTTGCCCACTTCCTTTCCCTAGTCCTTGATTCTCAGAGGCATATCAGCAGGGAATAAAATAATCCATTTAGATCTTGAAGAAAAGTAATGATGAAGACATAATATGGAATATCTCATATTATTGCTGCCTTGTGTAAAGGTTTGCTTTCTTCCTTAATTTCAGATACTTAGCGTATATCCCTAGTTCAGGAAACAGTTTTTACAGCGCTTTCAGTCAAGCATTGGTGTACTTGATTTCACAAATTTACTCTCACTTTTGAGGTTTTCAGTTGTATAGGTGCCTAAATAGGAATTGAAACCAAGACACGATGTGGCTTTGGGGTAACTTTACAGATAGTTACAAGCTTTCAGAATAGTACGATTCCAAAAAGTCGGCAAACAAAATAGAATTGAAAACAAATTAGTTTCTCCCACAGGGAAAAGTAATCTGCCCCACTGAGCAAACTCCCTCTCAGACTACAGAGAGGGTAAACAATGTTCCGGTGAGAAAAATCTTACGAGTTCTCAGAAATTAAAGTTACAGAACAGCCAGTTTATCATAAAATAATTTCCAGTACTTCAGAACCAGTGGAAACCTCCCCAAGCCCCAGCCACGCAATCCCACAGATCTTACATTGCTGGAAGGCGGAAAGAAGAGAGACAGCCGCAAGAAAAATTAAATCACCAGCCATGTTCCCAGCAGCTTCCGCGTGCAAGCAGGATGTGTGTATAGAAGAGAGAGCTTGAGTGAGCAATAAGGAAAAACAACAGGTGGGAGAATTATAGTGCTTTTCAGCATTGCAACAAAGGTCTGCCTTAGAAATAAAACTGCCTAACTTTTTAAAACAAGAGTGCAAAATTATGGCCATTTTTCATTCCTGAAAAAGTTCAAATACAGTCAGCCAGCCCTGCCTGCTTCTTGCCTGTGTGAAAGCGCAGAGAGAACAAAAACAGCCTTTCCTGCCTCTGTGGATTCAGCTGTTCTTTTATGTCTTAGATTTCAGTTGCAATCTCTTTGGGGGCGAAGACTTTTTGTTCTGTTCTGTGTTTGTACAGGGTCTAGCGCAGCAAGGTCTGCATCCATCACTAGTAGCACCACTCGAAAGCAGCAGGTGCAGGAGATGCGAGGGGGGAGCGGGGCTTTGTACTGTCCCTACACTTGATTTACGGGTTTTGCCGAATGTACAACTTAGGCTCTGACAGATGACATGACAGCCACTTTACAAGTAGTCAAAGTAGTCAGCATGCAGAAAGGAATTGTTCAGGATAGTTCAAAGGGTAAAACAACTAAGAAAGAAAGAAATATCTCCCCTCATTTTACTGCCTGGAGTACACTTCCTACAGCTTATGCTTAGTCCTAAAACTGGGGCAGAGTCTCTCAAGGAACTTTTTTTCATCAGCTAGCCCTAACAGAAAGCTTAATATTGTTAGCCCTTATGATCCCATAAGACCACTGGAACAAAACCAGTGTAATGTTTGTTGTGACTCCAGGTTTATCTATCCACTTTGCCTCCAGCTGAAGTTAAAGTGGGATATTTCATTGACTTTAGTCAAATTTGCTAATTTTAAAGGCTAATGTAAAAAAAAGACTTTAAATCAGTTATTTTACCTTGCCAAATTTTAAAAGGTTATTTCTTGGGTATTAATTCAGTATATTGTTCTTTCTAAAGATTGGAAGAGTAGATACACTGTAATAACAGTAGTTGAATGTTTGTGCTTAGTAACTCTTTGATTGCTGATTTATGCGCTTTAATTGCAGTTCTTGTTGTAGTATGGGTTGGCTTTCTGACCACACAGTCTATGTTTTCAGGGGCTAGCTCAGAAGTGTTCACAGCATCGTCACCCTGGTGATATAGGGAAGTGAAGGAAAACTCTGATAGAGCCGGTCATTTGAAAAGTTAAAACCACAAGACCAGCTGACATGGAAGTTATGGGGTTTTTTCTGACTTTATTCAAAGGATGTGAATTTCGAAATGGCAATGGACATGCAAAATCTATCAAAGGTTGACTTAAAAGTAGGCAGGAATACAATTTAGGGCAGGGGGGTAAATCCACAGAAATATTCTAAGTTACATGTCCATTATGGCTGAGCTAGAGTCTGCCTAAAACTCTGTTCACTTTCCACTGGTAGCAGAGAGTATGTAGTTGCCTAACACTTTTAGTCATATGTAGACCACAGCCAATGTTATGCTTCCTCCCCCTGTAGCCCAGAAAAGCAAATTGGATCATATACAAAACACGGTTGGGTTTATTTGTGATTGTGGAAATACAGTAGTACCTCAGATGCCCAGAGTTTTATAATGTGTGTAAGCTCCAATATATAAATAGATGCCAGAATCAACCAAGAGATTTCTCCAGTTATGTCAGGACATTTTGACAGCTTGTCTGTGGCTGATTTCTCAGCTTGCTCCTGATGAATGTAATTTGATTTTGCATTTCCTTCACTTGCATGTATTTCATATCTGCTTTGCTTATCTCTGCTGTTGTAAATGCATGTGTTTTTTGCAGCTGTCCAAAGCTGCCTCCAAAGCAAGAACAGAGGCTCTGAGCAGTGAAATGTAATGTGAAGTCAGAGATACTGGTGGTATCTTACCAGATGTAGGTCTTTCCCATCTGGAAACAGTGGTATTTTATTGCTGCACTGTACTTTGTGTGTGTGCTCTACAGGGAAAATGAATTTCTCTAACCGTAATTTACAGCAGTGGAAACTGAGGCATTGGGTAGGGACGGGACTTGCTAGTTTCACGCAGCAGCTGTGTGTCAGTGCTGGGCATCTGCGTAGCCCCAGGATTTAAGGCAAATTAGTGGTCCTGCCTCTTGCTGACCTGTCCGTCCCTGGCAGACCTTCCCAAAGAGGCTGGCTCTTCTCTCTGTAGAGAAGCTCCTGTTGACCAGCAGCAAAGGCAAATCCCAGCAGGGTGGCAGAACTGCTGTCATGAGAGAGCAGATGGTTGGGGTAGTGAGACCAAAAGCATTTTAAGTGTGAAACCAGACTGATCAAATAAGCTCCTTTAATGGAGTTACACTGTCAAAGCTGCTCATTTTTTGTCTCTGGAAGAGCTGAAAAGAGCTTTGCAAAAGGCAGTGTTCAGTCTGTTCTGGGGTGTAACTTCTTAAAGGACAGTCACACGTGGCAGTGAGGCATCTTATTTTTAAACACTTCTAGAAGACAGCCTCTGAAGAACAGAGAAGCTCCTCTGGCTGGAAGGGAAAACATATCTGAACTCCCGTATATTTCACTGGAAACGTTTATAGGGTAAATCAAGACTATTACAATGTATGAGGCTGGCTCATGTGTCAAAAGCAGTTTAGCTACAACAGTAACAGTAGTGAGTTCTGCGGTTTATTAATTTATTCTGCTTTTCAACAATATATTACAAAGAACTGGGCCTGTGTGGCACTGGGTCATACTCAGGCTTTAAATTTATCAGAACTATGGAACAGGTGAAAGAGGAAGAAAATACATTTATTACTTCAAATGTTCCTATTTCTACTTCCTAAATACCAGTTGTAACCCATGTCTGCTGTTGTTTCATATATACTTTGCATGGGGCCTCAGAGGAAGGTTGAACAGTCCATTTTATCCAGTTTATTTTAAGCTCTGGTTATTCAGAGTCCCCTGCTTTGTGGCAGTGTTACCAAATGATAAAACAGATCCTCATTTTCCATCCCCATCCTCTGGTCACTGGTGGCATAAGATCAGACTATTTTTGATGGTGGTGGCAGAGCAGATTAAAAAATATTAAATAGAGTAGTAGCCAGAGGTTTGGATTCTTCCCTGATCTGCACCTTCTGCAGCCTTATGTCACCTCCATCAATATTGGATATAAGTCAGGAAAGAATTGGTTCATGGTGTTCTCATCTGGATGTGCAAAAGATTGATGTGCTTTAACTCCTGTTAGTGTTAATGTGAGTTGCTATATGCACATAAATTCCTGCATGCCTGCATGCCCACAGGCCTCTTGGATTTTCTTATAGCATTTTGGTATCATTACATTTTTTTACTTTGGACATTGAAAGAACATATCTGGGATGCAATTCTGGACTGCAGTAGAGCATAGCATATTTTTACATATGTATATAAAACATAAACTGTGCCAATCTTGCATAGTATCCCATTGTAATCATAGCAGGCTTTCAAAGTAGCAGCAAAAAGAGGAGTCTAAATTATTATAAGTACCTTCATGTAATTACAGTGTGGGGTTGTTTTTTGTTAAAATGGTGCTTTTCTGTTAGAAAACATGGGTTTTTTCTTAAAATATCTTCACCTGTTCTCAGCTCTGAGGAGCTCAGAAGTGCAATGGCTTGGGAGAGATTATCGGAACCTGTTCAGGAAAATAGTGCACGCACAAGCACATCTGCACTGCCCTGTAAAAAAGCTGTGTGTGTTTATGGTGATCAGGGAATACCTGGGGCATACAACTGGGTAGACGCTGAATATTCCTCACCTCCCATGTCTCAGACCTCTTCTTCCTCCTAACCTGAATGTTTCTGGAACAAGTGGTAAATCTTCAGAGAAGAGCCACAGCCTAACACAAGAAGGGAATTCTGCAAACCCTGCCTCTCCCATTCAGCAGAAGAGGAGGAGGAAATGCGGTATACAAAGCTATTTCCCATTCTTTCCTTTGACTTTTCTTGTGAGAGATTCAATGTGTGCTGCAAAAGCTACCAGCCTGGAGACGGGATGTGGTGGGCCTTGCAGTCACATAATGTCTGAGGAGAGAGTTAGGCAAAGTCACGTGTCTTTTGTCAGTGCGTGTGATTGTGCCTGAAGATCAGAAGCAGCTCTCCCAGATTCTTCACCCTATGGAAATCAGTGCGGCTTACGCTCTGCGCCTCACTCACAGGCTAAAGCTGCTGTGGACCTATATGATCATCTTGCCTGACTGCCTGTATAATACAAATTGGCAGCATTTCAGCAATGAATAACAACTTATTAATAAGTGATGGGAGCTGGGAGGCAGCGGTGCTTCCAGACATTAGAATACTTCCTGCACCGCGCAGTCCCACTGGCCCTGTGTACAGTATCTCCAGTTTGCAGCAGGTAGCCTTGGGAGAACTGAGGGCTGGTCTGCAAGATGCAGATCCTGCACGACTTATGTCTGGATCAAAAGGAGGTTTAAAGATTTTCCTGTTGCTATTGACCAACTGGAAGCAGATCCCCAGGCCAGCGTGACTGCTCTGATATCTGGAATGCAAGGGATTAATGGAGATTCAGCAAGAGATTTGGAGACGTGTTGGTTGTACATCTCTTGTCTCCCTTCACAACACCTAGTAGATTCGTGACACCGTAGCACTTGCTATTTTTTAAGTTGCTAACCTTGGACAAAGAGCTATTTTAATTAGTGAACCACTTCAGCTCGAGGGAATCTTTTCATCCATATAGAAGGAAGTTTAATTTCATCTTTGTGGGAATCAGCTATGCTTAGGAAGTAGGAGGTAAATTGTGCTCATGTTCAGCCTTATCTGATGCCTTTAGGCGATAAGGCAGATCTTAGCATTCGCTCGGGTAGCTGGCAAGCCAGGGCCTCCAGCCTGGCCAGCTCTTCAGCGCGGCTTGTGTTACAGACAGTCACAACTGTGTGTCATTATTTATTGCCTGCATCTTCAGCCTTTCAGAGACGCTATTGGTAAATGTTGGCTCTCGGCGTTAGAGTGATGCTTGCTTGACCCCAGCTACCAGGGGAACGTA